TCGACTGGTTATCCACGCTCTTCTAGGTATGATAAAGACTCATCTCGTCGACGACGACCGTCCCGCCGGCTACTTCGTCCAGCATCATGCCGAGCACCGTCGCCAGGGGCGCCATGCCGGCCGTACGGACTTGAGGGCGGTTGCTGCCCGGGGCTGCCCGAGCGACGGCCGCCGATGCCGACGCCCCTGGTGTGCTCATCGGTGGTAGGGACTCGCCGGGGAGTGCCCGGGGGAACTCGCCACCGAACTCACCCCGATGTTGTTCTCCGTTTTGACAACAGGTGCGGCACGTCGTGGCCGCGCGTAGGCGCGTCAGACGCGAATGCTCGGACGCGCCGGACTCGCTGGTGGCCGGGCGACTGACAGGGGCTGTCGCTCGCCGATCCTCCCGGGGCCGTAGCGTCACGGTCCCGTGTCCGTTGTTGTTGCGATGGCCGCGCTGCTGTTGCTGGCTTGTTTGTTGATTTCCGGTCCATGCGAGAGAGTTGCAGAAGCGTCATCGCGGAGGATGCCTCGCCTGTAACGGGCATGCGGGTTTGCGCCCGCATGTGCTCTGAGTATTTCTGGGTGAGGGGGAGAATAAACACGAGAGAGTTTCTTTATTATGCGCCGTCTGCGGACGAGAGATGTGTGTGTGCGTGCGTACGTGCGTTGTGCGTACATGTGTGCGTGCGTGCGTGCGTACGCAGCGCGTGTGTACGTTATACGTGCGGCGTGCGTGCGTTCTTGCGTGCGTAGTGCGTGCGTGCTTCGTGCGTATGTGCGTGCGTGTTTGCGTGCGTGCGTGGTGCGTTCCTGTCGCGCTGCGTGCGTGCGTGCGTGCGTGCGTGCGTGCGTGCGTGTGTGTCTGTATGTGAGCGGGTTAGGTTTACGCGTCGCTGTGGCTGCGTGCGCAATGCAGCATGACTGTCTACTGTACGTACCCCAAACGCCGAGCCAAGCTAATAAAAATGAAACATTTTGACTAATGCCCGACACGTCAGCGGCGAAATTTATAGAAAATGTTACATAACCAAATAATATATATATTATATATATATATAATATAACATCTTCGGGATTATTTGACATTGTTCCGGGGAGACGGAGACGAGTAATGACGCAGCTGAGCGGGTCTAGGCGATGACGATGAAATATGAATACGTCCTTCGCCCTCACTCATCGCCTAACACTATCCAACAGATCTCTCACTCAGACCAACGTGGCTAAGCCGCTCCTCATCTAACTTAAGCCCACCCAACCACTCCACTCCCCCCACCCAACCCACCAACAACCCACTCACAACCCTTCCACCCACCAACACAACTCCACTCACCCACCCATAAGGGTTCAATGCTCATACCCCACGAGGGTTGACACCTTTCCTTGAGGGTTGGTTGGTTAGTTCCCAGCGACTTAGGTAACGTATTTCGACTTAGGTAAGTATTTACTTACTTACGTTTAAGTCTTTATATACTTTAAACTTTCGACTTTAGACTTAGTGAACTCTATTATTTAATAACAATTACGGACGTCTTACTAGTTTACGGTAAATCTTTATATAGTTTATCATAACTATTTATATAGTTTACGGCCACGCGTAACATACCCTATCGCTGTCGAATCGAATGCATTTTATTTTCTCTTCTTCTCCGGAGCGACGAGGCATTAATTAATCAGTGCGGACTGATAATTAAGTATGACACATGACCTCTCGGTTGCTGTTTTATTACTGATCGCCTGCGAGCCCGAAAACGTGTTGCCGCGGCACGGGGCAAAAACACAAGCAGGCGCGCGGGGGGCAGCTAATTGCACAAGAACCCCCCACATCCCATAACAGCACACCACACGCACGCCCGCACGCACGCACGCACGCACGCAGGCACAACGCACGCACGCACGCACAGACGCACCACCGCGCGCACGCACCCGACACACACACACACACACACACACCCACACACAGACGCACACGCGCGCGCGCACACCACACGCACACCCACACACACACACAGACGCCACACAAGCACACACACAGCACAACCACACACCCACCCCGCCACCCATCATCTGCACAACACTGCGAATAGCACATTTCGTTTTACCAGTTAATATAAGCGGATGTTATCAAGAGCTAATAATACCTTATTGTATATTATGTATGTGTGTGGTATTTATTAGCTCTTGTGATGTTATGTAATGTGCAAGCTTGGGCGTCTGCTATGCACAAACACACACATACACACACGCGCGCACGCACGCACGCACGTACGTACGCACGCACGCACACACACAGACACACGCACGCACGCACACAGACACACACGCGCGCGCGCGCGCGCGCACGCACACGGCAACCGAGTGAGTATACACGAGATACGAAGCCATCGCCGAGAGCAAGAAGGATACACATGTATCCATATACCAGCGGTGAACTTTCTCGAGCTTTATGATCTATACGATCTATATGTGCTTTCTTCGTTTCTCCGTTCCTGTTTATTGGTGCACGACTAGTTCTATAAATAGATTAACGAAGGCGGTAATAATCTTGTATACAATGTAATATTGTATTCAAGTCCTGTTATTCGTCATATTTGTTTTGGGGGCTAGAATTCATGATACAGAAAACCAAATCTAGACGTTGTCTCGGGATGTACCCAACGAGTCGAACGCATCAAACGAGAACATAAAATTTAATTTTTTGCATAGTTACTAGCAGTTTACGCGCGCTTGAACGCCTACGTATGATAAATAGTATGTGCTATTTCCACTCCTTTGAGCGAGATTGATGAGTGAGTCAACGCGTGACGAGTCATAAAGCTGGGGCAGAGGGCGTGCGATTGATTCTAGCGCTAGCGTGGGTGTGAAGGGCGACGAAGGACGAGAAGGGAGGTAGGGTGGGGGGAGGAGGCGACGGGAGAGGGTGGGGCGACGAAGGACGACAACGGAGGTAGGGTGGGGGATAGTAGTATAGGAGGCCCGTGGGTCAAAAGATGGTTACTGCGTCTGGTGGATTGATCGCAGGTTGTAGATATTGGAAGCGAGTGTGGCGAGAACGCGAGAGGGAGAGAGAGAGAGAGAGAGAGAGAGAGAGAGAGAGAGAGAGAGAGAGAGAGAGANATATATATATATATATATATATATATATATATAGATATATATATATATATCTGTCTGTCTCTCACCATGCAGCGCGCCTGCAATTGAGCATTATTGCTGCAATGCTGGCGATGGGTCCCCGTCGGTCAATGCCAGCTAGCATACAGATACAATCACTGGTGTGTTAGCGGCCACCTCTATAGAACGGACACCTGTCCGTAAAGGACACTTTTGCTGTTCCCCTCGCCTATCTGTTATATAGTGAAACACCGGCTAAAGAACGGATACCTGTCTATAAATGACACTTTTTGGCGTTTCTTTCGAGTGACCGTTGCATACAGGGTTGACTTATTTCTCACAATTCTGTTTCGATGCATTTTCTCCCCGCGCGTGAGCTTTAGTGCGGCAACAGATGCACGAAGGGGACGAACGACTCCACCGGCCACGTTAGTTTCTCTCTATTGTAGCTGCGGTGGACATTATTGGTATTGTACCTGGCTGCGGTACACATAGTTATTGTACGTGGCTGCGGTACACGTAGGTATTGTACGTGGCTGCGGTACACGTAGGTATTGTACGTAGGCTGAGGCACACATACTTATTGTACGTAGCTGCGGTACACATAGTTATTGTACGTGGCTGCGGTACACGTAGGTATTGTACGTGGCTGCGGTACACGTAGGTATTGTACGTAGGCTGAGGCACACA